GCATCCACATCTCATGAAAGCGTGTGGCTGGCAAGCATTGGCACGAAGAAAGCTGCAGACAAGGGCTGGGTCAGCCCTTCATGGCATCCAACACGCACCGAAAAAGGATCAAATTCTGCGTTGCTCCGCATGGCCCGGCTCTGCAGCTTCCATGGGAAAGGCTCTGCCCATTGCAAAAGATGCAATGCTTTGGCCAGCGAGCCGCACTAAAACTGAGTGAGCACATCTGAGATCTGAACACGCGAGGATTTCGTCACAAGGCTTACGCCACTTACGCCCTGGAAACGGACGCTGCCAGCTTCCGGACGCTCTCAGATCTGGCTGGTGGGGTGGTGCAGCTCCGAAGGTGCTCAAAGGCTGCCAAGTTCTGGACCTCGAGAGCCGCTCATCAACCTTTGCCTCCAACCAAAACATCAGATGCTTTAGGTTGGTCGATAATTCGAGGATTGATTTTGCCAAAGATCCCCAAACTCAGCTATTGACTGCGCCCGACTTGCTTGCATGCCGAGCTGCGGCGCTGAAAAACCTGCAGACCGGGAATCCAAGCCGGCATGCAAAAACAAAACAAAAACGAGTCATCAGCGCAACATCGAACAAACCCAAAGACTCGACGGCTCTCATCTACACTTGTGTCGCAGAAGCGCTGGTCTAGCGTGTCTGTGCCTGTCGATCAAATGCATGCCAAGAAACGGGCTTGAAACCTGTCCTGCCGCTCCCCTGAGCACCGGCACGCACCGAAGCATTGCTTTGCCAACACGTAAAAATAAATCAGCAATCCGCATCCAAGAATCGACGGAGACATTTTCCGCGATCCGGAAGCCTCAAGGCAGAGGTCAAGGCACAGCCAACGAATTTAACCCGCGGTCAATGCCTGGGCTCCCTGCGTTCAGCCGGTCCCTCCGAGCCCATCCCACGGGCAGCTGCAGCTTTGAGCTGCCCCGGGGGCTCTGCGAGGGCGATGCAGTCCTTGATCATGCGAACCACTTCAGTGCACCGAGCTGCTTTGTTCCACCTGTCGCATGGTTTTAAGTTTTATCTTCAGGTTCCGTTCTCCGCGAGAAGAAAACAGGAAGCGTCTTGCCAACAGTCTGACAGTCTTCTCTGAGGCCAGCACCCGCCCAAGCCCATGAAGCAATCCTCCAACTGCCGGGTGGCAGCAGCCAGCTGGGCCCGGGCCAAAACTGGCGACCGGGGAGAGCTGCTTCTGCTGGCCTCGCGGCTGGCCTCGCGACCCCGGGTCATCACCTGCATGGCCGCCAGCTGTAATCTCAGCTCCTCCCGCTCCAGCATGGCTTGGTCACGCTCCGACATCACCTGCTCCAGCTCCTTCTGCTCCTTCTGCTCCTTCTCCTGCTGCCTGGATGCCCTCGAATGAGGTGAAATCGCTTTGGGGCTGTGAGCGAGGCGGGAGCTGAATCTGGCGGCCTCGAACACCCAGTCCTGCTCCGTGGCAAGCTGCAGCTCCAACTGCTGCACCCGCGCCTGGCTCAGCGCTCTGAGCCTCTGAGACTCCACCAGCTCCGATCGCAGCTGCGCGATCTCCGCCCTCAGCTTCTCCGACTCCACGCAGGCAGAGGCACCGATGCGGCTCGCCCAGCCCTCGAAGCACGCCCGCACCACCGCCAGGCCAAAGTCATCGGGCCGCGCCGAATCGAGACATTGCAGCAATGCGGCCACAGGCATGGCAGAACATCTGAACGATGCTCGCAGGGAACCCGACAAAGACCGAAGCATGCAAATGCTATAGAGGCAGCCAATGTGCAAACAACAACAAATCCGACTAAGAACTGGAGAGGTCCCAAATGACATTGCAAAGCTAATTGTGTTGCGTTCTGCTTGCCTGTCCATGCGACACGTGGCAAGGGATTCGGGCCTGCGCTGCACCGGGGATCATGCAAAATCGAACCAGCTGGCCTTACAACCAATCAGAGGTGGCTCATCTTTTCTTTCCGCTTGGAGAGCCAAATATGCCTGTTCGGAGGCCTATGCCAACTACCCAAAAGAAGATCAAGATGTAGTTCCAGTGGGTGCGAAGCAGGGTGAGTCCTAGTGGAGTTGCGGCTCAAACGTAATCATTGCAGTAGGTCATGTGGCAGCAAAGCCGCGTCGAAATCTGCAAACTGTGCAGCGAGACACTTCAAAAGTTTGATATCTTTGGCGGGCATTCGTCGGGCAAGCCCTCACTACTTACTACTTGGCGGGCATTCCCTTGACATTTAGGAATATGCGTTATCGTTTCGGCGAAGCCTTCCAACTATTTGACACGCGTTCCATTGAGCAGGTGTGCCTGGGAGATCCCTCACTACTTGTCGGGTGTCCCCTTCGGGCATGTCAAAAGCCAGGCATGAGCTATTTGATCTGTCTAGGCAAAGCATGAGACACATGAAGACGGGTACCGGTCCGATACCTTCAGTTGCGAAGCTCAGGGCTGCTCAATCCGCTTCAGGGCGGCCCTCTGAGCACGACTTTCAGACTTAGCCAAAGTTCCCATTGGAACCCTTTCGGTGGAATGCCCGATTGGCGGCTGCTCGGAACAGTCTTGTGGGGGTCCGTTGGTGACAACAGGTGTTCATCTAGCGGCTTCGGCAAGCAGGTTCAGGAATCCTTGGGCGGCTACCCAAACAACCCTAGCACTATCTGCATTTGAGACGCAAGGGTTTTCCACGAATGCGGGGCCGGCAATTTCAAAGCGTCCACGGAACCCCGCCACCCCCCCGCAACAGATCGAGAAACTCCGGGGAACCCCGCCCCTGGGAGCGGCTGGACTTGATCACCTAGCGCTGCATCCCGCAGCAAGTTAAACTCAACATTGGAACCTTGGACCATTGGCACTTTGCCACAATCGCACTAACTACACCGCATCTGAGGGTGCAACAGCCCACGAGTCGACAGCGAACCAAAAAAAAGCAATCACACCACCTGGAAGGCGAGGGCTCCCCAGTCGGCAGACTCCAACTGGTTGGACAAGGCCTAGTTCTCTCTCTCTCTCTCTCTCTCGCCAGGGATGGCTCGTGTAACCCGCTCAGGTGGTCTCCATGCGCCGTCCTAGATAGGGCTGGCGCAGAGTTTGGCCTCAAGATCTCCGTGTTTTCGAAGGTCAGCTCGCAAATCTCATCGTCCTCGTCAAACCTTTGTGCCAGGGCCCCACCACGACATTGCTCCAGTACCCCTGCAAGTGCTTCTGGGGCCACGGCGATTTGGTTGCAAACAACCCCAGTCCATCGCCCACCCTACTCTCCCGCACTTCCGCCACCTGGACTCAAGGTTGAGATCAAGCCCGGTCACACCCAGGCTCAATCAATGAAGCAATCCTTGCACAGGCCTCGGCTAGAGGAGCACATCCCCGAGAAAGGATGGGCGCCTGCGAGCATCGGGTACGAACAAGGGCTGCCAAATCATTCTCACGCTGTGCGCTGTCCAGCACTGCGCCGCGACTGAGCATCAGGCCATGGACTCAGCCGTCACAGCCCGGAGAGCCACAGCGTGCCTCTGGCTCGCAGCCAAAGCCAAAGTTCCGCATGCTAAAGCCATTGCTATTTGCACCAAAGGGGCCCTGAAGGGTTGCAGCGGCGGTTTGCAAACCAAGTTCAGCATGCTAACTTTCAAAAACCGGGTGCGGGGTGTATTTAAGGGTGCCCCCCATACTTAAGGGAAAAAACATCTTATGAACGGCTGAAAATGAGCTCATGCAGAAAATGAGCAAAATCAAAGGTAGGTGCAAAACATCGCTGAACACATGTTGCTCTGAGGCCTGGAATTCCTTAAGTACACCCACAAAACCACCCCCGCAGCGCCCAAAAAAGCTTAAGTACACGCCTCCTGTATCTAAGGATTTAGCCCTTTACTTAGGGAACTGGACCCCTGTACCTAAGGATGCTTTGCAGCAAGCTCACTCGGCACCGAGCTCAAGGACTTTTTGCATTTGGTGGCTTCCCCGTCTGGTGTGGCTTCCCCGTCAGTGAGGGTAGCCAACATTTTACTCAGTAAGCGCTAGGCCCACACACACAAACACACACACACACACTCACACACACACACTCACACTCACACACACACACACAGTCGAGTACACATAAGTTGTGATTGTTTCTTGTCATCCAATTTTGTCATATTTCGGACAATGTGATGGATTCGCGGTTGGCTACGGCTTCCGATTTATATAGTGCTTGCCACATTGAGGTGTGTACATGATCTAACACATGCGAAACATATGGGGTGTTTTGGTTGAACTTCCTGCCGCCAAGTGCACAACATATCGAATATGCAATGAACCTGCTATGTTTGAACAATAAGTGGACATGCCATGTTGCCCGACCGGTGGTGGCTTACAGGGGTGGTTGCTGAAAACTTGAACTATGAAAGCTAGCAGCAAGCACAAAACCACAAACACCACAAACACCGCAAGCCTCCGGTTCAGCAGCTCTGCCCGTTGAGAAACACAGCGCTTCACCAAGCGTTTGCATGAGGGGATGGGTCGGCCGTAAGCATCAAATGGCGCGTTGCGTTTCGGGTTGCCCAGCCACTCAGGCTGGCAACACACTCTGACCACAGCATGCCGACACCATTTCAAGCAAGCCAGTCCACAAACAGTGCCCACTCAGGCATGCGCCTTCGGCATTTTGCGGCCCGTCTCTGCCCTGCAACCGAGCTGTGCAGGGACAACGTCTGCAATGATAGACATGTTGCATGGCCACCTGCGTTCCCCCCCCTCAACTGAGTAACGCAATTCAAGCCTGCCTGCCCGCAAACCACATGCGACGAGTGGAAGCAGCCATGCCCCTCTGCAAGGCCTAGAAACGCATGCTATCGTGCGGAGAGTGTTGGCTGTCTCGCTTCTGTGAGACTGCTCCACGGCTTCAATCGGTCTGCTCCGGCTCTCCGGCCTGACCAATCGGACTTCATGGCCTGGCTGCCGCGACAGGCATCGAGTGGCCTTGGAGGCAATGCCAGTGCACCAAGGCACCAAGTTCTGCCCCTGCAAAATGATTGGCTTTCCGCTGTCAAAATTCGCCTCGGCCCCAAAGGGGCCAAGGGCGCTCAGATCTCTTCTCCAAAGAGAATCTTCGCTTTTCCCCTCCCCCAACCCCCTCCCCAACCAAAATTTTGCCGGGCCGCCCCCCCCCCCCACCCCCCCCCACCCATGTCGGCTGGCCCAAAATCCTGTCCGGCGGGCCTTGAAATTTTCGGGGTTCGTCGGCGTCCAGCTCCATGGGTCCATTTTTGTCGAAAATGTGCTGACAATTGCGAAAATCACTAAAAAATTGCTTTTTTGTCCTGAAAAGCATGACCTCCTGGTGGCCAGGCCTGCCTGACGTGTCTGAGACTAGGCTCAGGCCCAGCCCAACCAGCAACCCGCCTGCTGGCCAGGCCTGTCAGCCCCACCCAGCCTCAGGCCCAAGCTTGTCTGAAACAGGCCTACCCCAAGTCATCCAGCAAGCCCAGCCCAGCGCCCAGCCCAGGCCCTAGGCCGGCCCCAAGGTCAGGTTTGTCTAACGCCAACGACCCAGTCTCACGTGTCTGAAACTGGTCTCAAGCTATGCCAGCCACCAAGCCCGTCTGACGTGCCCCAGCCCCCTCAGTCCGGCTGCCCAAGCAACTCAGCCCCTCCTGCTTGCGTCTGGCCCCAAGCCATCCAGCAGGCCCAGCCCCGTCTCAAAGTACGCCAGCCTGAGACTGGCCTCAGGCCCAGCCCAGCCAACTCGCCACCCAGCCTCGGGCTCGTGGCTGAGACTAGCTTCGGCCCAGCCCAAAGCCTGCCCAGCCCAGGCCCCAGCGCATCTCAGGGCATGCCAGCCACTACCGGCCCCCAGCTCCCAGCCCACCAGCAGGCTCAGCCCAGTGTGCCAAGGTCAGGTTTGTCTAACATGTCTGAGACTGGCCTCTGAGACTGGTCTCAAGCTATGCCAGCTACTCAGCAGCCCAGGCTGACCAGGCCCCTTCGGCGCAGTCTGAGACTGGTCTCAAGGTATGCCAGCCTGAGACTAGCCTCAGGCCCAGTCCCTCAGCCCGCCTGCTGGCGTGTCTTACGTGTCTAGCCAGCAACTCGCTACCCAGCCTCAGCCCATCCAGCAACCCGCCCAAGCACAGCTCAGCCCAGCCAGCCGAAGTTCCAGGCGCAACCAACACCATAATCCAGCTGCCCAGCACCACCCATGGCTTCGCAGCCTCGTGGCTGAGACTAGCTTCAGGCCCAGCCCAACCAGCAACCCGCCTAAGCCAACCCCACCCAAGCCCACCCGGTTTGAGACTCGCAGGCCTCAGCCTATCTAGCGCCGAGACTGGGCCTCACCAGCCTGGGCTCAACTAGCGTCTAGCCCAGCCCAGTCCGCCTGCTGGCCAGGCCTGTCTGACGTGTCTGAAACTGGCCTCAGGCCCAGCCCAGCCATAGCCCAGCCCCCTCAGTGCGGCTGCCCAGCCCGCCGTAAACTAGCTTCAGCTCAACCAACAACCCACGCAAGCAAGGTCCAGCCAAGCTGCCCGAGACTAGCTTCAGGCCCAGCGCAGGCTTATCTGATGTGTCTGAGACTAGCCTGTGGCCCAGCCCAACCAGGCGAGGCCGGCTTGTCTGACTTGTCTGGAGCCAGCTTCAGGTATTCGGACCTTCCCAACACTGGATTTCGGTGTTCCTGACCCTTCCCTCAAACTAGGCTGGGCCGAGGCGGGCAACGCGAAGCGTTTACAATTTCCTGGTCTAGTGGACGAAAGCATCCAGCCCAAGAATAGCCAGGCGATCTTGGCTCAAGAGAGTTGTCCCTCAGCAAAGGCGAATACCGTCTGATTTCGCCCCTGGAAAGAGCGATGCAAAAAGCCCGGACTGCGCAATGGTTCGTCCACGTGGTATGCTATGCCAACGGCGAGCGGAGTTCCAGGTGCTAAACGGCCGCAAAGGGCTGGCTCCCTCGACACTCGGCTTACACAATGGGGACGGGCAGAAGACGATCGACGTAGCACAAAGCACCAAAGCACCCAGTGCGAAGGCTTCGCTCATCAAGCCCAAGGCGCTGAGCATCCGCCCGCTTCCCCTTTGGGGCACCTTGTTAGTGGCGAAACCTTCGAACACGATCCATGGCATTTCCGCACAGCTATGCGGATGCTAGCGTCTGCAATGCTCCGTGCTTGCAACTCTCTCTGGTTCAAATCCCTCTTTGGTCCTCCGCATCCCCTTCCCTTTGTGCCCAAGCAGCCGTGAGCTGGTTGGCGCTTTCATTCAGCTTCAGTTGCTGCACTTGCACCCCTTCCGGTAAGTGGCCAACCCCTGGTGCTTGTCGAGGTGGTGCTGCGCCCGAGGATGGCACCTCATTGACTCATGCGCATGGCAACTGCTTCTAACTTGTTCCATGCAACAACTTTACGCCGCACGGCTGAAATGCAAAGTTCTAACCCTGTCGTCTACTCTGAGGAGACCATTGGACGCGGCCCCGTGCACAAGATTCAACGGTCCAAGGATGCTACATTCATGCTGGAGGACGTCCGGCCAAGTGCCCGGCCGGCCCCACCGATAACTGCAACATTGGGCATCCAACCCGAGCAACATCCACAAGGAATGCTCGGCTCCAAATACGCGGCGGGACATGGGCGGGATGCAAAAAAGGCGAAACGGCAAATTGGGGCATGGCCAGTCTTCAAGAGCATGCTGCCACCAAGCCCAGTTGCTCAATGTCATCAGCATCTGCCAGCATCTGCAGCTCTGTCTTTTCCAGTCTCGCATGTGGTTTCTGGCTCCTCTCTGTTCCCACCTGCTAATTCTCACTGCTGCAGCTTGATTGCCAGCGGGCTGTCACCTCATTTCCATCAGATCGCGGCGCCCGGTCCCAGTCCGTTTTTTTCGTGCTAGCGCGCAATCGGAAGCACACCCACCCTTGCATCCATGCATATCTCCCAAAGGAGAAAAGGCCTGCAGCTATCAGGGCTATCCCTAGATAAGCTGATAAGCCGAGGATAGGCCAAGGAGCTCATGACAAAAAAACACCTTTAGGGGATGAAGGCGCGAGAAGACCCATGATCCCCGACGTGCTCTTTTTGCTTACCGCGCATCCAGGCAGTTGCCTGACAGTTCCACTTCCTCGAGGCTCGGCAGCTGCCACACCGCCTCTGGAATGTTGGCCAGCCGATTCCGCGACAACCTGTCGCGCGACACGGGGAGTTTCTCAAAATGGTGGACCCCCGGTTGGCTGACGTGCAACGGGAAGCCAAAAGGAAATCAGCCAGTTTTCCATGCTTTGAGAAACGACCATCGGGGGCTGAAATTTTGGGACTCTTTGACGAATATCAAAAGGATGCATGTCCACCAACTTTGTTTGGCTGAAATTCATGCCAATTTGCAATGGCCGCCAAGCGTGCGCAGAATGTCCCGCAGGGTCCGCACTGTTACCGAAAACCCTAGACAATTAGCCAAACCGAGTCACAAGGCGCGGCGAAGTGAAGAGAGCTCGCTGAAAGAGCTTGGAAGCGATGTCAGCTTGTTCTCTACCAAGCAGATCTCCTCGTGGCTGGCTGACACTCCCAGGCTTTCAACATTCCACATGATCGGAGCAGCCTTTCCCTCCGGCACATCCCTTGGGGCAAGCCCGACACAAAAAGAAACAAAAACATTTCTCCATTTCTTGTTCAAGTGCTTGGCGTGCTGGTTGCGCGATATCCTCCAGAGCTCCCAGGCGGCCAAAGGAGTCCGGCAGCTGCGTCAATTCATTGGCATTCCTTGGCGATCGCGCACGGCGACCAATGCAAACAGTCAACCCAGTGTTTCGCCGGGCAGCAGCTGGCACACCCGCAAGGAGATCAAGTCACCTCAGCGGGTCCACCAAGCACAGCCTGCGCTTTCATGTCCCACGCCTGTCGCCCTGATGTGTCACATCCCGGCAGCATGCTCAAAGCCCGCCCAAGCGTCAAGGTGCCAAAGCTCTCAGGAAGATGCTGCAAGCGATTTCCATTGGCCAGCAGCTCTTTCAGGCAAGTCAATCGACCCAAGTCTGCCGGCAGACTCCTCCAGTCACTGGCCAACCTTTGCAAGCTTAGCATGGCCACCGTGCGTCCTAGCTTAGCATGGCCAACAAAAATCGGGAGATGGGCAGCTCCTGAGCTGATTTCTGGCGAGATCGCAGTGCTCCAAGCTCGCCAAGCTTGAGAAGCCTCGGGGGCACGTGGAGCCAAGCATGGCACATATGGGTCACGGATGGCCAAGCAGCTTGCAGGCAAGGACTCCAGCAGGCAACCGATGGCCTGCCAGGCAACTCCAAGCCTCACTTCGTGCCGGTGAGTGGGTGTGTGCCTGCAGCCGCCGCAAGCAGCAAAGCTGGCCAAAGCCATCAGGAAGGGGGCGAAGTGGATTCGCTTGCAATTGCAGCTCCTACGGGGTCAGGTCAAAATCTGCCAGTTCAACCATGTCCGGCTCATGCCCTCCTGCAAAAATTTCAATCCAGTTATGCCATCCGGCAGGTTGGAGAGGCGATTGCCTCGGCTGGCCCAAAGTGCGGCCGAAATGCCCTGAGCCCAATCTCACCCTTGGCGTCAGGCCCTCCAATCGCAGCGCTTGCAGTTGGGGAAGCTGACCATCAGCCACGGCCATCTTTCGCAAGAGGTTCCGCGATAGCCCCAGGACCTCAGACCCAAAGGGCAGGCGGGAAGGTCAGCCAAAAGAAGAGCCAAGTAGCAGAAAGCTTGGGAAGGTCGAACAAAGTCGCGGGCAGCTCTGCGATCTGATTACTGTCCACCATCATCCTTCTCAGCTGGCAGAGGTTTCCCACACTGGCCTCAGCGTGCAACGCTCACAGTGCACCTCTTGTTGAAATTACCAGTGCAAGCCGCAGGAATTGAGTGAAGTTGATTCTTGGACAAGTGGAGCAGCCTGGCCAGTCAGGACGCAAAGCATGCTCCAGACTTGGCATGGCGCCTCAAGCATTGCAGAGAGCCAATGTCCTGCCAACTCGCCAAGGTCAGAGCTGTGCCTACCTGCCTAGCCACACCTAAGGCGGTCCTGGGGAAGACTGGCAAGCTGACATGCCTCGATGGTCAGCTCCTCCAAGTTCGGCAACTCTGCAAAACCAGGCCTCGGAACGGCATGCGGTTTTGGAGAAATCGCCATCGTCCCTTGCGAGCAAATCAGGATTTCCCCTGAGCAAACCTCACACCTGCCATGCAGAGAGTCAATGCATGGCAAGAGGCGGAAGTTCAGAAAGCGGCGCGTGAGCGATCGCCTTCGGAGATCAAGTCATGTGAGCTCCCACTACTTGACATGGACTACCACGGGTGCATTGAATGGCTTTTATTCTTGTTGTGGCTTATATGGGCATTACTTTCCTCCCACCAGGCAGAACTTGGCTTCCAGGACCCTGGCCAGCCGCTTCAATGACACCAAGTGGTGGAACGTGTCCTCGGCTTGCGCCGTCTCTCCGAGAGGGTGCCAACCGGATATTAGAAAGGCTTGCTTTTTGAGGGCACCATTTTTTAAGGGGGGGGGGGTTAAGGGACACCAAAAGGGAAACCACCCGGTGAGGCGTGAGCCAACCAAAACGAGTCCAAACTCTTCGTGCGCCTCCGAAATTGCCTTTCCAAAAGCTCGAAGTCAGTCCAGGAACTCAACGAATGAGATTTTACACTTTGCCCGAGCCCTATTCCACCAGGTTATGCCAAGCCGCCGGCAGGTGTCGCAGGCCGTGGCTTAGCTGCAGAAACTCCAGTGACCGGCAAACCACGCCGAAGCGTTGCGGCAGCGTCTTGAGGCGCTTCTGAGCAAGACTCAACTCCTTGGCACATCTCTCTCTCTCTAGGTTAAACCCGCAGGTCCCAAAATGGGAGCGCTTGGCCCCCCCCTCTCAACCCAGGAATGCCAAGGTTTGCCCGTTTGAGCAGGCTGTGTCGAGGTATTACATTGCTGGGGCCGCATGGGTCGCCTTGTTGCCATGGCCTCCTGAGCCTCCTGAGCCTCCTGAGCATCCTGAGTATCAAAGAAGGCGTCTGAGGACCTGCCGGACTTGCACAGACTTTGGCCCAAATATCCGAGTCACCCGAGCATTTGCAGCAGGAAAAACCAATATTGTATCTGAAGCCAGGCAGCCACAGCGTCTTGAAGCTCGCTGAAGCTGTCCACACCAGCAAGCTTTGCCAGTTGGTTCTCCAGCATGTCAGGCAGGATGCAAACCTGAGTCAGAGTTCTGTGAAGCTGGGGCATTTATGGTTGATGGTATCAACCCAAGCATGTTTTTTGGATGGAATATTCGGCTGTTGCAACCCTCTCATCGCTCGGGCAGAACCGACTTCGTACAAGTTGACAAGAAATATTGGGTGTGCCATGGGGCTGGTGAAAACCAACAAATGGTTTGGGCACCGCAAGTGCTTGCCAAACGAACGCGCGCGAGGCCGGAGAAGTTGCTTTGCTATGTCACCATCTTGCTCGTGTTGTTTCGGCTCACCGCGCAACCTGCCATAATGGACAAAGCAATAGGTGCACCGTTGCACAGACTGCGACGCAGTAGCCCTTGGCCTAAAGAGCCAAGTCGTTGGTAACGAATTCAAGTTTCATGAGGTGACAATGCCTTGGGGACTTGAATCGTTGAGTTGGGGATATCACCCAGCGCCTCAGCCGCTTTTGAGGGTCGTTGTGGCTGTATCAGTCAGAAACCAAAATGACCTGGTATTCCCGTATGGCTGTGAGTCAAAACCAATGGTACCATTTTGGGGTAGGTGCACCACCCATTTTAGTCTATATTAGTGGGGATTGGGATGTTCACTGGGGGTACGGGATTTTGACCCATGGCCATATCTCAGGACGGTGCCGTGCCACACGGCTTCAGATTCGACGCGACTGAGGCCGCAGCATTGACATCGACGTCCAGGGAGGCGAGGGGCGCAGAATCCGCCAGGATTTCCTTTCCCAGCAGTTGAAGCCCTTGGCTGGCAGAATCGACACCCGTTTGTCGACGTGCGCTAGCCAAAGGCTGTTCATTTTGGCATCAAGGCTTTGCGATCATATAGGATGAAGACAATGAATGATAGCCTTTCTGTGGAAGCCCCTTTTGAATCAACGTGACCATCCGTCACAACATGATTGACGCTGACTGTCAAAGAGCCCCAAGGAAACTCCCCCCCCCCAGACTCACAGAGCTTTGCCAAGTAGCGCCCAGGAGGCACCCCCAGCGCCTCCCCCAGACCCCGGCGCGCGTCGCGGATGGTGTCGCCGTGCTTGGCGCGAAGAGGAACTGCCTCCGGGGAGCTGTCCAGAAGGCGCAGATCAGAGGACTGGACAAAAATAAAGAGCTGCAAAGGGAGGGACGCATCAAGAAAGAAGAAAAGGAAGACAGGGACGAAGAGCAGGAACGGAGGGAGAAAAGGAAAAGGCTTGGAAAAAGGAAGGACTTCCGGACAGTATTCGGGTCAGCTCTGCTTTACATGCCCCTTTACACGTCCCTGTCCTCGCCACTCAGCAAGCGGAAGGCGGCCTGTGCCATAGCTTTTTTCTGTCGGCGCTCGAAGCTTTTGCTCTGATGTGCCCTACAAGAGTACCT